TATATATATATTTTATTTTTTATTTTTGGGGAAAAGGATAAATATACCCCCGTACTATCGAAAATAGTATACAAATATCTTTCGTCATACTTTTGAGACTTTGGTGCCCCTGCCGTCCAAAAACTAGTGCTTATTTGCCCTTCACTTTAACAGAAGACCAAATAGGGACACGTGGCGCAATACTACAGACGGACCCGTTTGACCAATTAATTAGACCCAAAATTTAAAAACCCACCCGAAACCCTTTGACCCAAATTAAAACACCCAGCTCGCCTCCTTTTCCTGCTAAAACAAACACCAAACAGAAAACCCGGATCAAACAAGACATTAGCCATCTGGTCACAAATAAGAATAGTACATGTGATCATTGCATCTGACTCCTCAACCTTGATCCGCCCGAAAAGGCATAACACTGAGCCTCACGTTTTAGTGGTGGCGAGCTTTTCTTTTTGGTGTTTGTTTCAGTTGGAAAAGGAGGCGAGCTGGGTGTTTTAATTTGGGTCAAAGGGTTTCGGGTGGGTTTTTAAATTTTGGTTGGTCTAATTAATTGGTCAAATTGGTCCCTCCGTAGGATTGCACCACGTGTCCCTATTTAGTCTTCCGTTAGAGTGAAGGGCATATAAGCACTAGTTTTTTTATGACAGGGGCACCAAAGTCTCAAAAGTATGACGGAGGGTATCTGTATACCATTTACGATAGTTCGAGAATATATTTATCCTTTTTCCCTATATTTTTTGCTATCATATTAGATGATCTGTATGTAAACTTGCAATTATTTATAGTAGACCAAATTTGACATTTTGACAAAGAATTTTACCATATTAAATTCTTTCTATAACATAGGTTCGGATAAAAGAAATATTATTACTAGAGCCGTCAAAAAGGGCCGGTCCAGCCCCACCCGGCCCAAGCCTCGCGGGACAAGGAATTTGAAGGGCTAGGGAGGGTTGGCCCTTCATTTGGTAGGGCCTGAAAATGCTCAACCCAACCCAACATGACCAAGGGCTGGGGCGGGCTAGCCCTTTTTTTTTTTTCTTTTCAAACTTGTAATTCTATAACATCAAGAAAATGAGAAGATTTTCAAATCAAATATGGCAAACAATGGTGTTGTTTCAATAACACTAGCAAAAAATTTAGTGTAATTAGCATGTATCTCGCATACTAGATATGCGAGTGATAAGAGAGTGACAAGCAAGATGGGAGGAGGCGAGGGCGTGAGATTTGATATGTATCCTAGATACATGCGAATCTACTTTGATAGAGTGTATCTAGAACAAATTAACCTAACTTTGAATCCATATATTCTGAGATACATGTATATGGGTACGAAGATTCATAATATTACAACATAGCGTGTATTCAAATTATTAGATTATATACTAGTGAGATTATTGTAAATTACTCTTCAATAAAAAGTTTTGGCCCATGGGCCGACCCTGACCCAGCTCCAATCATGCCTCAAGGGTCAAGGGCTTATATAGGTCGGACTTATAAGCCCTAGTTTAAATGAGCTTGAAATTTTTTATCCCAACCTTACCCTAATATCGGGTAGGGTTGGACTGACCCCATGGGCTAAGCCCATTTTGACAGCTCTAATTATTACATCTATTCTACTTAAGGTTGTTTTAAGTTTCACAACTCTAGCTATGAATCGTTATTATTCTTGGTCATTGTAGTCACTTGATTTTTAATTCTCTTCGAATTTTGCATGACTTTAATATTTAAAATTTTCTTTTGAGCCCGATCTTGACTTTTTGACTTTTATTTTATAGTTAAAAAAATATAACTTAGTTTTTTTAAAAATAATTGTTATCCACTTCTCACATCATAGCAAATTTAAAGGCACTTCACACTTTTCTTAATTTTGTATATTTGTTTTGACACTTTGAATTTGGAATCTTACTTACAACTTGTTTTGAATGTAGTAATAAGTACATACAGCAATATAAATGGCATGTGCGTGTATATATTGTTTCTTCAAACATTTATTTATATATATATATAATCATGATAACGATATAAGATATTATTATTAATTAGAAATAGTGTATATGAAGGGTTTTTCTTGTGTATCTATAAGAAGAAAATGTATGTGTTTATTTACCCTTAAACAAAATTCTAGCTCCGTAGACATACAATCATAAAGCGAAATCGTACTATATGCACGATGAAAATATGTTGATATCTTAAAGAAATTTTTTAATCTTTTTTTTTTTCTAAGAAAACAACTTTTCTAACTCATATAATTAAGACAAAGATTGACATGCTGTCCATTGGAACTATATGGATATTATTGCAAAGTCTATTTGTGTATTAATTGACACTAAAAAGGAATCGAAATTTTAATTTGTACGTACTTAATAAAAAGGTTATATATTGTCGGTGATGAATAAAGTAATTTTACAAAAGGACATACACTATTAAGAAATTTTAATTTGTACGTACTTGAATTAACATACCTATTAAGAAATCAATTAATGACATAGTGAATTTACTATTTTATCCCTATTAATTATGAAGTGGATGAAAAGTTCTGCATTTTTCAAAGTAATTAGTCATTTAATTGAGGGTATAATAGGTAAAAAAAATTGTCCTTTCTTGATTTGTCAAAATGAACAAGTAATTAGGAACAACTATAAAAAGGAAAAGTGGACAAGTAATTAGGGACAAAGGGAGTATTTATTATATTAAAGTTAGTAATTCAAAAATACTTGTTCAATTTAGAAAATCAAGAGATAATTTATCTTTT